TACTCTGTAATAAGCTCTGGAACATTGTATCCCTTTGTGTTTATTCATTTTCTGTTTCCTACACTTGTGCTGTTTGATACCAGTCATGAAGGGAGGATGGTTGCCAGAGCGAGTCTCGTGGGTTCTTTTCCCCAGCTTAGTACAGAAATGAAAAGCCAGAAAACTATTTGCAAAGAGGCAGAAATTTCATTGCATTGACAAGCAATAGAGAAAGTGTCTGGTGCTTCAGAAGACAGGTGGAACGCCCCAGCAGCACACTGGCTTTGAGGAAGCGTCCTCGGATTTTAAGGCAGTACTAATTGTTAATTGAGTTATGCTATTGGGGGTGCCCATTGGACAGGGGTTTCACGTACGTATGCTGTTTCCTTGGGGCTCAAGGAGCCTGCAGGGGTCTCCTGGAGACCGCCTGTCTCCATAGGGGATCAGCCCCCTCCACTGCTAGCTCTGGGTGGAAGATCGCAGCTATACTGGAGGCATGGTTTAAACTGCAAGGTCACACAAAATAGCCAGGGTCTCTTGGAGCTGATCCAGCTCTCCCCAGGTTCTCATCCCCTTCCCCTGCCAGCTCTGACTAAAGACTGCACCCACCCTGAAGGTGTGATTTAAATCTGCAAGGTCACACCTGCAGCACAGGAAGCTGTGAGTAGAGGAAATGCCAGTGTCCTGGAGAGGCAGCCTGCTTGTGCAGGACGTTCTCCCCGTGTCTGAAGGGGCCGCCAGACTCCCTGTTTAACTCTCTGTGCAATCTCCCCTATCTCCCAAGTGCAAGATAGGGTATGAAATAAATCCTCAGTGTTTCTGCTCACACTGTGGAAACCACACCAATTGGTTAATTTTTGCTTCAGCCACCTTGCAGATACTGACAATGTTCTGAGCAAAAGTGAAATCTATTTGATACAGACCCTTTTGTTGATCTGTAAAAAATATTTGATCATTAGCAGGCAGAGTGATACAGAGAGGAACACACACACACACACACACAGACATATGTATATATCTTCCAGGCTGTGGCTCAATGCCCATGTGGACAGAATAGGTTGGAGCCAGGAACTCAACCCTGGTCTGCCTGCTGGTGTCAGGTACACAAGCCATTGGGCCATCCTTGGCTTTTTTCCAGACCCATCATCTGGAAGCTCGATGACAAGCTAGGTGCTGGGCATTGAACTAACACTCTGACAAGGGATGCTGGCTTCCCATGTTGTCTCCAAACCCACAACAACTGTACCTTGAAATTCTTTTTGCATTGACGTATAGAAACTTTACATATGCATGTGATACCATGTACCTTTTTAAATAGAAACTCACCACCTTTGCAATTTTTTATTTTGAAATGTGGAGAGTCAGCAAGAAAAGACAGACAGAGGTTTCTCCTCCTTCATATGCTTCCCCAAAGCCTGGTTAAGAGCTGGGGCTCTGTCAGGCAGAAGCCAGGAGCCAGGAACTCAGTCCATGGATCCCATGTTGGTGGCAGGGATCCAAGTATGTGATGCCTCCCCTGCTGGACACCACAGTCTGCATCCATAGCAAACTAAAACTGGCAGCCAAGCAAGCACTTGAATATAGGCAGGCATACCAGTGTGGGGTGCAGGTGTCCCAATCTGCGTCTGTCTACACTGCTATGCCAAACTTGGAGTCCAGTGTGTGTTGTTGGAATCCATGGAAACTGTGTGTAATGTACAAATCAAGGTCAACACATCTGACTCCCCAACAACATTTCTTTATGGTGAAAATATTCCAAATCCTTCCTTCTACCTTTCTGTGAAATATCAGCACTTTCTCCTTAGTTTAGGCTCTGTCCTATGCGTACCTCTCTTTGGACACCTGCTGTTCTACTGCCTTTCATTCCATGTTGGGAGACCCCCTCTTTTAGTTCTGCATTTCTGTCGTAAGGATGTGTTTGACCCACTGTTTCAAGGAAGTTCTGCTGGCCAGAGTGTCCAAGATTTCTTTCAGGGTTAACTTCTGGATGGCTTTTTCATTCCCCAAAGTCAGCTTTGCTGATTAGAGAATTCTTGGTTTAGGGCAGCCTGTTGGCACAGCAGGTGAAACTACTGCCTGGGATGCCAGCGTCCCATATGGGAGTTTTGGTTTGAGGCCCAGCTCCTCTGCTTCTAATATAGCCCCCAGCCTATGGCAGCTGGCACAGCGGCAGAATGTGGCGCCTAAGAACCTGGGGCCCTCCCATCTACCTGGGTGACTAGAGGAGTTCCTGCCTCATGGCTTTGGCCTCTGCCAGGCCCCATTGTGGTGGGCAACTGGAGGAGTGTCTCTGTTTCCCACTCCTGCTCCTGCCTTGAGATATGAAAAAAAAGACAACGATTTATAAACTGCTTGGAAATGGTATTTTGAGTACACGTGCAGGAAGCGATACATTTTTGGCACTAGAACACACATTTTTTCTAAATGCTGCTTTCTTCCATTGTACTTGAGAGGCAGGAGACAGGGACAGACACATCTTCCATCTACCAGTTCACTCCTTCAGAGCCCACAGACCATGGCTGGCCTGGCTGAAGAGCAGCTCATAGCTGCATTCCCACCTCTCACATTAGTGGTATGGAAAGACGTATTGAACCCTGCACCCCAGGTGTGCATTACTATGGATCTAGATTTGCAGTGAAGCCTGGACTTGAATCATTTATGTCCATGTGGGACTGACATTGCTAGAGCAGCCTAAACTAATGCTCCAAGTGCCTGCCCCTGAATTCTTCTATTTGTTGCCTTGTGACGTGGGGTTTCCAAAATGTTCTCATACATTCTATGAGTGAGTCTTTTGGTTACATAAGTGGTTTGCACATAAATTGGCCTGTCTATTGCCAGTCCTTGCTTATTTGATCCGTGATGGGTTTTTGCAGAACAGGCACAGCAAATTTCCTAGTTCAAATGATTCCTTTGAAAATTGTTGGATGTTGCTTGAAGTTTAACATCTAAGAAGTCTTTCTCAAGTCTTAACTCTGAAACTCCTTCCTGTGATTTTTTAGAAAATCTGTAGTTTTGTCTTCTAATTTCAATCTTTGGCATGTTTCAATGAAGCAACTTTACCAGAATCCAAAAATTTCAAGAAATTCAACAACATGAAAACACACAATCCAGTTAAGAAATGGGCACATTACTTGAACAAGCATTTGCAAAAGAGGAGATTCAAATGGCCAATGGGAACATGAAAAAATGTTGAGTATCACAAGCTGTCAGGCACATGCACATCAAATCCACAGTGAAGTTTCACCTCACCCGCGTTAGAATGTCTTTCATAAGGAAGTCAACAAACCACAAACGTTGGCTAGGATGTGGGAAAAGGTTCCCAACCCACGGTTGGTGGGAGTGTAAATTGGTACAGCTGCTGTGGAAGACAGCATGGAGATACTTCAGACTTCTAAATGTAGACCTACCAGATGACCCAAACATCCCACTCCTGGGAATTTACCCAAGGGAAATGGAATCAGCATATCCAAGTGTTAGCTGTACCCACATGTTTACTGCAGCTCAATTCACACTAGCTAAGAGAGGGAATCAACCCAGATGTCTGTCCATTAACTGAAGTCTGGATAAAGACATTATGGTATATGTACACTATTGAATAGTACACAGCAGTATAAAATGAAATCCTGTCATTTGACACCAAATGGATGCAACTTGAATCTGTTCTACCTAGTGAAGTAAGCTAGTCCCCAAAACAAGTGCCATACCACAGCCTACTCTTGTTGACAGTAATATTTACAGGTGGTCTCAGTAGTAACAGATTCTTCTCTAAGAAAGCGCTGCATTTACAAATACCAGAAAGGAGATTTGAAATACTCGTCTGAATTCTGAGCTGGCTCACCACTCAGTGGGTTCTAACTGGGCAGGTCTCTCACTTACGACCAATTTCTGCCCAAGAAAGGCAATAGAGAGGGGAAGGGGATGCTGCTCTTGTGCACGGGCCTCAACAGTCATCAATTCTCAGCGGGACACGTCCACAGCAAACATGCAAGTGTGGCTTTAAAACTTTAGTGTGGGGCCCGTCCTGAAGGCACTGCAGGCTGTGCCTCCACCTGCTGTGCCAGAATGCCATGAGGGCCCTGTTTCATGTCCCAGCTGCTCCTCTTCCAACAGGCCCTCTGCTGATGGCCTGGGAAAGCAGTGAAGATGGCCCAATGTGTGGGCCCCTGCACCCGTGTGGGAGACCCAGAGGAAGCTTCTGGTTCTTGGTTTCACATAGGGTCAGCTCCTGACATTGTGGCCATTGGAGAGTGAACCACTGGGTGGAAGACCTACTCCTGTCTCTCCCACTCTCTATCTGTAACTCTAACTCTCAAGTAAATAAATCGAATCTCTTTTAAAAGCTTTATTGCAATAAATGTAATATACACAGATATTTGACACGTGTCATTTATATTCTAATGAAAACTGGACAAAGAGAACAGCAACATTACTCATCCTATCCAGGTACAGCTACTCAAATCAGGTTAGAGAGGTCTCACATACATTCTACTGAGAGAGAACTTTTAAAAGATTAATTATTTATTTGAAAGCTAGAAATACATTAGGCAGAGGTGGGGGGGAGGGAGAGAGAGAGAGAGAGAGGGAGAGAAATCGTTCAATTGAAAGTTTACACATGGCTGAATGGATGGAAGACCACTCTCTTTCTCTCTGACTCTCCCTCTTTCTCTCACTCTCTCGACCTCTGCCTCTGTAACTCTGCCTTTCTATATACAAATACAATCTTTCAAAACATTTCATTGGAAGGAACGGCATTACATTACCCTGGGAGTACTCTGGATGGAGCCCACTGAAAACAGAAACCTAGCAAAAGTGACTTAGTGTTGTATCCTAGACAGAGGCATCACAGAAAGAAGAAATGATAGGATAGTAGAACACAGAAAGGAAACCTAGGAAAAGTTGAAGTTGTTTCAAAGAAATAACGAAAACTACAATTGTGGATGGAGTCCACTGCAAAGGGAGAAACCTACAAGTGACTTGGTGCTTCACAGGAGAAATGAGGACCTGCAATGGCTGCTGGTGGGTGGCAGCCTACTCTGCACACTGTGTGGATTTGAGGCACCTGCTGGTTGAAGCAGCCAGGCAGGGTATCTCTCCCCACCCTGCAACGTGTGACTCCCGCCCCTGCCCCAACATCTAGTTCTGATGCCAAGTATGGTGAACCTAAGGCCAAGTCATCCAAGACGCGGTAGGAGACAAAGTCAGCGTAACGAATGGAACGGCGGGAGATGTGAGCCACAGGAGAGTCCCTTTCAGTCCTCCTCCAAGTCCTGCTCGAGCAGAAAATTGGCAGCCCACTCCTCATTCTTCTCACAAGCAAAATATGCTTCAACCACAAGGCCTTCAGGAAAGCCCAAAGCCTTCAACCTCTCTATAGCTGCCAATTCCCGGGGTGTTATTTTAATGTAGCTGCCATCTGCTCTGGCTGCTTCTGCAGTTCCCACACTGTCAACTCCTTCTCCTCCTCTCCTTTCACCGCCAGCTTCTTCCACAGGGGCAGTTAGCATGCGACTCAAATACCCCTGGTACTGGCTAAACTGCGCGAGTAACTGAGGATTCCGCGGACGTATGCCTTGCAGCACTTCTGGAAGCAATGAAGGATCGTGCTGAATAATCTGTCTCAACTGTTGAAACTCAGGGTGATTCAGTAAAAAGTCCAGGGGGTGTCCTCCAGAACCCGATGTCGCAGTCCCTGCATCTGCCTCCACCGCTGAAGACCGACCGGCTCCGCTGCTCCCGGCTTGAGGGGGCTCGACCTCGGCCGCACTTGCCCTGTCTCCGGGGAGTCCCATTAAAAGATACTCCACGGCTCTGTGAGGGTTGTTGAAGCTGGCTCTCAGGGCTGCAAGGACCTGCTCCCGTTCGTAGCCCATGGACACGATCTCGGCGACCATTTGCTCGGAAGCCGGACGTGTCAGCAGCGCCCTTGCTGCCTGCTCAGACGGCTGGGCCCGAGAGGAGGGTCCCGCGATGGCATCATCTGGTGTGGGGCTTGGAGACCCTGGCGGGCCTGCCTGCTGCCCTGCAGCTTGAGGTGCGCCAGCAGGTGCAGGCTGAGCCGACGCTGTACCGGATGCTGACACGGAGGCAGGTGCAGGTGTAGCACGCGTGGAGGTGGCAGGCGCGGCGGGCAAGGCAGGGCCGCGGGCTGGGGCCCCAGCACCAGCCGATGCCGCGGTGGCAGGATGGGACTGCCCAGCTGTGGCCGTGGCCGTGGCCGTGGCCGGTGCTGCTGTGGTCGCCGCCTCGGGTCTGGCCACCAGGACCGTCACTGCGTGGTGCTCGTGGATCTGACAGTCTCTGAGCACAGCGTCGTCCGGGAGGACGCGGCCCGCATAAAGGAGCTGCTGCCCCGCTACCGGAAAGGCATCTCTGCCCTGCTCGGCTTCAATTTTCTCCTTGAGGGCCCTCACCGTCTGGCCGGGGTCAATGTCGATGTGGAAGGTGAGCTGCGGCCAGGCCTTGAGGGTGAGCCGCATGGCGCCGCCGCGCAGGGCCGCGGCCTGGTCGGCTGGCCGGGCTGGGGCGCGTGCTGGCCGCCGGGCAGGCGGGCGCGAGGCCTGGCGGGGCGGGCACCGCCGCGCTCCTCACACTGCCTCTGCCTCTGGCTCTCGGGACCCTGCGGGGGCGGGTCCCAGTCGCCCTGCCCAGCGCGCTCTGCCCTGCCCGCGGGGCCTTCTTCCGTGAGCCCCGGCCTCCGCAGTGAGGGCCCCTGGCTCAAGATGGCCGCCGTGCCGCCGCCAGCCCCTCCCCCACCCAGGAGTAGCCGTTGCTCCCCGCGTGACGGTGGCCGGGAGGGGCCCTCCCACGCCCGGACGCTCCTTCGCCACCCACCCGGTCGCGGTGCTCGGCCTCGCTCGTCCATGCACTCCGAGCTCCCGGGGCCTCTGTCTCGGCTTCTGGTGCTTCACAGCCTCTTTTAGATCCCTTTGGGAGACTGCTAACCTTTCTAGAACTTTCTCCGTTTGCTACTCTGTAATAAGCTCTGGAACATTGTATCCCTTTGTGTTTATTCATTTTCTGTTTCCTACACTTGTGCTGTTTGATACCAGTCATGAAGGGAGGATGGTTGCCAGAGCGAGTCTCGTGGGTTCTTTTCCCCAGCTTAGTACAGAAATGAAAAGCCAGAAAACTATTTGCAAAGAGGCAGAAACTTTATTGCATTGACAAGCAATAGAGAAAGTGTCTGGTGCTTCAGAAGACAGGTGGAACGCCCCAGCAGCACACTGGCTTTGAGGAAGCGTCCTCGGATTTTAAGGCAGTACTAATTGTTAATTGAGTTATGCTACTGGGGGTGCCCATTGGACAGGGGTTTCACGTACGTATGCTGTTTCCTTGGGGCTCAAGGAGCCTGCAGGGGTCTCCTGGAGACCGCCTGTCTCCATAGGGGATCAGCCCCCTCCACTGCTAGCTCTGGGTGGAAGATCGCAGCTATACTGGAGGCATGGTTTAAACTGCAAGGTCACACAAAATAGCCAGGGTCTCTTGGAGCTGATCCAGCTCTCCCCAGGTTCTCATCCCCTTCCCCTGCCAGCTCTGACTAAAGACTGCACCCACCCTGAAGGTGTGATTTAAATCTGCAAGGTCACACCTGCAGCACAGGAAGCTGTGAGTAGAGGAAATGTCAGTGTCCTGGAGAGGCAGCCTGCTTGTGCAGGACGTTCTCCCCGTGTCTGAAGGGGCCGCCAGACTCCCAGGCCCACTGGCCTGCCTCAAATCCCCTCCTTTTTATTACACACCCTACTACTCTGAGGACTTGTGCCATTGATGTCGCACTGGATACCTCTTGCTAGCGGGGTGGGGGTGGGGGGGGTGGGGGTCATCTTCTTAAGGCCCAGTAGGTTGCGGCAGGTCAGAGTAGTGGCGGCCTTCCAGGCTGCTGTGTTAGAATCCAGTCTCCATACAGGGTTTCATCTGAACGACCCCTTGCATCTTGATGGATTTTAACCTTTGAGAGACAAATTTGACAGGCCAATTAAAGATACGTGGGCCAAACATTAGACTAAGTAGTAGCATACAGAATGGGCTCAGCAGAGACAGTAGCCATGCTGTGGATGCTAACCAAGATTTTAGTTGTTCCCAAACTTGACCTGTCAGGTGGGTTTTACTGAGAAGTTTTTTAACCACACTGCTTTTTGGAGGATGTGATCTGTTTGTGTGACTGCAGCTCCTGAGGTGTTGACCTAGAAGCAAGAGGAGGTGTTTGCTATGGCAATACTCCTCCCTATTGGGCTAGCATATCTGTGGTCTAGGGCCATCTGGGCTAGTGAGTTTAGAGAACTTTGTAAATCTCTAAAGCTGAAGCCAACTTCTTGGGCTATGTCTCTCACAGTAGTGGTGATGTTTGAGACCTGCAGGTGAGTACTATCCACTCCATACGTCAGCCCAGTCAAGGTTGCTGCCAGGGCTGTCACACCTAGTGTGATCGGGGTCACTGATTCTCTTTTGACTCTGATTTTAGTGTTAGTTTTTGAGAGGGCCTGGTAAGTCTCTTCAATTGCAGTTTGGTTTAGATCTCTGAGTTTTCTATCAATTGGTCCAGTGCCCAACATCCTAGGGGTGTAGACATCTTACACCCCATGTCTTTTTAGATAAATTATCATAGCCCATAAAGAGCATTCCTCTTGGGAGGCAGAGGAATTTGTACTGCTTCAGGCCCACGTTCCGGGGTCTAGGATCATCGGTGATGTTAAGGAGGTCAGTAATCTTATTGTTAAGAATCATATTCCTGGGCCAGCGCCGGGGCTCACTAGGCTAATCCTCCACCTAGCGGTGCCAGAACACCGGGTTCTAGTCCCGGTCGGGGCGCCGGATTCTGTACCGGTTGCCCCTCTTCCAGGCCAGCTCTCTGCTGTGGCCAGGGAGTGCAGTGGAGGATGGCCCAAGTGCTTGGGCCCTGCACCCCATGGGAGACCAGGAGAAGTACCTGGCTCCTGCCATCGGATCACTGCAGTGCGCCGGCCGCGGCAGCCATTGGAGGGTGAACCAACGGCAAAGGAAGACCTTTCTCTCTGTCTCTCTCTCTCTCGGTCCACTCTGCCTGTCAAAAAAAAAATCATATTCCCTCCTTCCTCTAAGGTGCTTCTAAGGAATTGATGTTTCTTTGTATGAGTGTGGGTTATATTATCTCTGCCCTCAACACTCTGGAACATTTTAAATGCTGTTTTGCAAGTTAGAACAGCTGTAGTTTTATTTTCAGAGATTTTTTTGCAGTTGATGGGTCAAAGATAGAAGGATAACAATATAGCCCTCCCATATCTACACAGGAAGTTAGTTCCCCTTCCCATGAGAGCTGGTCTGTGGGATGATAGGGTTAAGGAAGGACAATTTTTGTTTGGTAACCATCAAGGCAGGTCCATTCCAAGGTTGCACTTTAAACCACCGGGGCTCATTTGCAGTTTGTAGGGAAGAATAGCATATCTAGCAGTTGCTTATGTTAGTAGCTATACTTGCTACATGAACGAGGGAGTTAGGCTCGATCCTGCCTGTTTGGAGAGAGCCAGTGGCTGTGTGTATCAGTATGAAACAGGAGACAGAGGCGATGGGAAGCAGGTGTGTCTTCCCCCTAGCAATCCTGTTAGCGGTCAAGACCAGATTTGGAGGGCATCCCCAGTCCTTTGGGGGTGGTTTCACTAGGCCAAGAAATAAAAGTATAAAGAGTACTATCACCAGCACCTAGGAGAGAGAAAAGAATTGCATGGGGTTGCAGTCAAGGTACTTATCACTCAGGTGTCTTTTTGAAGAGTAGCTTTAGGCCTTCCAGCGATTTATAGGTGTAGGTGGACTCCAGAGGGTTTGAGCTGGTCTAAGGTCTCTAGCACTGGTGTGGTCTCAGTAGCTGTCCCCCCCCTTTTTTTTCTCTAGAATGGTATATCCAGGTGTCTATCCCAGAGATCTTAATAGTGGAGGGGGTGGATAGGATGACAGGGAAGGGTCCTTCCCAAAACGGCTTGTGAGTCCCCTTCTCTAATGCCCTTATCAAGACTAGATCTACAGAGAGGAAGAGGGGCTTTCCTTCTCCTGGATGGGAGCCCTTGTGTAACTCACATATGCCCACTGAAAGGCTGACAGATGAGTGACAGTCAGTTATCCATTGGGCCTCTTCATCTAGTAAGAAAAGGTGTCCCATAAAGTTTTTTTTGTTTTGTTTTGTTTTTTGTTTTTTGTTTCTTTGTTTGTTTGTTTTTTGTTTGTTTGTTTTTTGTTTTGACAGGCAGAGTGGATAGTGAGAGAGAGAGACAGAGAGAAAGGTCTTCCTTTTGCCATTGGTTCACCCTCCAGTGGCCGCCGCGGCCGGTGCACCACGCTGATCCGAAGGCAAGAGCCAGGTGCTTCTTCTGGTCTCCCATGGGGTGCAGGGCCCCAGTACTTGGGCCATCCTCCACTGCACTCCCTGGCCACAGCAGAGAGCTGGCCTGGAAGAGGGGCAACCAGGACAGAATCCGGCGCCCCAACCGGGACTAGAACCTGGTGTGCCGGTGCCGCAAGGAGGAGGATTAGCCTAGTGAGCCACGGCACTGGCAGGTTTTTGTTTGTTTGTTTGTTTGTTTGTTTAAGGGGAAGAGGCCTAGGCTTCCAGGGGTGCTGCGAACCCGTATTATGGCTAGATTTAGAAGCTGCCACCAGGGGGCTTGTACCTCCTGAGCTAATTTTAAAATATGTCTCTTTAGAATACCACTAGCCTTTTCAACTTTTCCTAAGGACTGAGGGTTCCATGCACAGTTGTATATTAAAGTCAATTCCTAAAGCCTGGATGATTCCCTGGGTGACCTCTGATTTAAAGGCTGAGCCATTGTCACTCCATAAGGAGTGAGGAATCCCAAAACATGTAATAATCTAATTTAGTAAAATTCTTATTACTTTAATCACCTTTTTAGATTACAAGCAAATGCCTCAACCCATCCTGAGAAGGTATCGACCAAGGCCAGCATCATTTTGTGTTTCTTTTCTTTCTTTCTTTTTTTTGACAGGCAGAGTGGACAGTGAGAGAGAGAGAGAGAGAGAGGGAGAGAAAGGTCTTCCTTTACCGTTGGTTCACCCTCCAATGGCCACAGTGGCCGGCGTGCTATAGCCGGCGCACCGCGCTGATTCGAAGCTAGGAGCCAGGTGCTTCTCCTGGTCTCCCATGTGGGTGCAGGGCCCAAGCACTTGGGCCATCCTCCACTGCCCTCCTGGGCCACAGCAGAGAGCTGGACTGGAAGAGGGGCAACTGGGACAGAATGCAGCACTCCGACTGGGACTAGAACCCGGTGTGCCGGTGCCGCAGGTAGAGGATTAGCCTATTGAGCCGCGTCGCCGGCCCATTTTGTGTTTCTTAGTTCCCTGCATGTGGGTGAAATCCTTCTGCCAATCCTTACCTAGATAAGTGCCCTTTTGTTGTTTTCCTTGGGGGAGGGCAATAGCCTGTTTTTAGTGTTGAATCACAAGCACATCTCATATCCCTGTATCACCCATTTGACTGTCTATGATAACTTTTTTTTCCTGTAAACAGGTGCTGAACCAGAGCCAGGGTGTTGTTTCTTACCAGATGATGCATCTGGTGGAGGGTTTTTAGGACCTTCCACTGGACACTTCGTGGCAACCAGAGTCGTCCATCAAGGGTAATCTACCAACCTTGATGGTCAAGACTGCATCCTGCCTCTTTCCCCTGTAAGTTTTCTGAGTGTAAGAGGGCCTTTCATGCGGTAATAAAGATTCTTCCCATAAAACCATGGCCTCAGAGATTTTTGAAATGGCAGCCTGCTGGGTTGCCTTATCTGCCAGTGTGTTTCCTTTTGAAACAGAGCCCATATCCCATTGATGTCCTTTGCAGTGCATCGCAGTGGCCCTGGGTGACAT